TAGCCTAATTCTAAACTGGGAGGCAGGCCAGGCCGTTGTCTGGTCTCCCTTGTTCCCGTGTTTGGCCCAGGGAGCCTGGATGTTCAGGACAGAGCAGGAGCTCACAGCCCTGAATTCCTGCTGGCCGATGGGTGACAGCCGCCTGACGGCCTGCGTGGGATGGGGGGACCCACCCCCGGCTCCATGACACACACCAACAATACCAACAGCGCCAGCATGGCCTCCCCAGCGAGCGGGCGGGCAGGCAGGCAGGCGGGCGGATTGGGAGGCCAGCGATAATGAGAACAATGAAAGGGTCTGACATGGAAATTTCAGTAGGAAACAAGCAATTACATGAGAGCAAACATTCCCAACGCCACTCACAATCATCCCAACACATAACAGTGATTAGAAGAATGATAGCAACAAATTTAGACCCGGAGCTGTTTGCACTTGGGGAAAAAGAGTCCTGATGGTGCAGAGCTCAGACCCTCCTCAGGCACATGTGTGACTCTGTGTGTGTGTGTGTCCGTGCGCGCGTACATGCGCGTATGTGTGAGGGCCTTTTGAAACACATGACTTTCATTTGACTTGATTTAAATCTGGATATCTTTCTCCAGCAGTTGAAACCAAACCGCTTCACATTTCCATCCACCAGGAGGGGAGGAAATAGTGAGTCAGAGAGGAGGGGAGGATTTTCTCTGGACCCGCTGTGGGTTCAGTGGAGCCCTGATGGGATGTGTTCAGACCGGGAGAAGGACAGACCCCAGTGCAGAGCTGTGCTGGACGCTGGATCATAGCTAGGAGGGTCTAGGATGCAAATATTTGGCTAGGACCTGATTGAGACCACCAGCTGTCCTTTTTTTTCCATCAAGATTCACAGCAGAATCAAGCAAGTTCCTAGGGTTTTAAAGATGAGTTCTTTCCTTCCAATTTGTCAAATGGAAATACAAGCAAGTCTCTGGGTCCTGATGTTCATCAAAACGGTCCCCAGTTAGTCTCTGTCGTGGGATGCTTTCATCATCTGCATCCCACGACAGAGACTAAGGAGGCAACATTTCCAACCTCCACATCTTCAACAGCCTGCAGAGAGGAGGCATCCGAAAGGAAGGAGGCAGCTTGGGAGAATTATGAGAGGGCACGGACTTGGCAAGTCAGGGGCCGAGCTGGGAAGGCTTCCTGCTGGCATTAATTGCAGTTTACAGGCTGGGGCTCATTTTTTCTCTCTAGCCGACTCCAAGCTACCTCTTCCTCCTCTTCCTCCTCTGCAGGAGCCTTGGGGCCTCCCCCAGGCCTGGCTTGGATCAGGGCCCCATCTGCCATGCCAGAGGGGACAACACGCTACTGCTAGAAGTCACTGAGGAACCTGCCAAGTCGGGCAGCCAGATTCAGATTCCCAGTGGCCTCTGCTGCCAGCCTTGGGAGGGAGTGCTGACCCCAGATGAATCCAGTTAATTCTTTGGAACCCACTCTGGCTGTCTCTGGGCCATATTGTGAAATAGGCACTTGGGTTTGGGCAGGCGATGGCTTTAGTTCTTCAGATTATGGGCTAAATCTTCAAGGCAAAGAGGCAAAATTACCCAGCTCTGCGCGCACCCTCCAAAGAACTAACTAGACAGCAGAAACGGAAACTAAGGCCCTTCAACCATCTCCCACCCCCAATCCATCGCCAGGTACAAAGAATGGCAGTGAAACTGGTGTGGATTATTAAAAAGTCCTGTAGAGATGGGATCATGAAAGAAACATCTCATCGGGGTCTCCTCTTCTTTCTAATTCTCTTTTATTTACTCTTTTTTTTTTTTTGAAAAGAAGTCTAATGTACCATCCTGGGTTTTGATGGCTTTATTTAAGTTCTGACAGCTTAAGAATCTCAGAGAAGTCCTAGCAGAAGATCCCATCTGGAGAAGTCGATGAACAGGCTTCCTGAGCGTACACAGGTCCCGGGCCCAGGACTCAGGAACTCCAAGGAAGAGAGGTCAGACCTTCCCCTGGAGTTCACAGCTTATCTGAAATCCTGAGGACAGGATCCCAAGAACTGAGTCCTTCACCCCCGCCCCACCCACCAACTCTGGCGCTGCGGTGATGGGGAGGTCATCCTAATTAAAAGCACGTGGTGGGGTTTCGGCTGTGGAAAATTGCTGGATCTTTTCTCCTTCCTCCCACCTCCTCCAGCCCTCCTTAAACACACACACACAACTTTCCCTCCCTTCCTTTAAGCAAACAACTCTCTCTGTGATTAAGTACAGCTCCTACTTATCTAAATAGTCCACAGATGTATAAAGACACAGAAGCTTTCGGCTCCTATTTGGAGCTTGTCCTGGTACCCGTCTTCTCCCAGCCCGCAAAGAGCAGCCTTCCTCGGCCTTGGCTGACAGAAATTCCTCACGCCTGTGCCCCCAGTAAATCAGCCCAGCTCGGCAGGCTGTCCGCAATCTATCAAAGAGGTGGGATTTCCCCTGCAAATACTTCATCCCCAATCCCCTCGACTTCTTGTGGCCTCTCCCATAACCTGAGCTTGAAGCTGCCCAGATGTGCACAAATGGAACGTGAAACGTCCCCGTTGTGCTGTCAGATTCTGATATTGTTTGGCGGCCGAAGGAAACACCACCAGTTGGTGAACTCCAAAGACCCTCCCCCCACCCCAGTGGGCGGAGGCCGGGCTGGGGGAGGTCGGTAGGGGGAAGAGGCTGGATGGCTAAGTTTGCGGAGGAAGGGAAGAAAAAAGAAAAGGAAAGAAAGAAAGAGATCTGTATTTTCCGGATTAAGTGGAGTCTGAGGAAAAAGAATCAACCCCGGAGAGCCGGGACAAGAGTGAATTCTAATGAACAGATGGAGAGGTTGGGTCCCCAGCTTTGGGTTTCTAACTGTGACTCTCCCACAGTTGGATTTGCTTTCCGCCTCAAAGCATGGTTAATACTTTGAGTCCTGGGGAGATGAGCTCTGTCTGGGGACCCCGGAGGTGGCTTTACTACCGCAGGGAGCCAGGATTCTGCTGAGCCAGCGGGAAGCCTTTCCACGTGCCCCCTTAGAGCCTCTGTGGACCAGCAGCGCCAGCCCCGCCCCTCGCCCGGGAGCCAATCAGAAATGCAGAACCTCAGCCCCGCCTCAGATCTATCCAATCAGAACCTGCATTTTAACTCGGTCTCCAGGTGACTCATATGCATATTAGACTTGAGAGGCGCTATTTGGAGAGCCAGATGGACCCAGCAATAAAAGAGTTAGGTTTATCCCCTCCCTCGTGTATCTAACTTACCGTTTTTAATTAATACTTAGGAAAAATAACACAGAACTTCAGAAAGTGCTGTAGCAATAAGAAGTGAGTAGGGGAAAGGAGATCCCAAAGTCATCTCCGGCCTCTCATCCCCAAGCCACTTAATGTCCTACCAGGAGGTGATGCAAAGAAAGATCCAGTGGACCGCTAGCATCTGGAAAACTTACAGCACTGGCTCAAAGTTGAGATCTAGGGCCCCACGGCAAACTTCCAAATCTGCATTTCCGGGGGTGGAAGCCAGAAAATGCATGTTAACAAGCTCCCCTTCGTGACACATGCTAACATTTAAGAATGATTCTCCCTGCTTCCTTTGAGTACTGCTGGATGGTTGGTTCAGATTTCCCTTCCTCAGGAGAGAAAGGGAATTGTAGCACTTCTGGGTTTGTTGTCTAAGAAGCAAGATCCACCGAACTTGGACAAAGTTATGATCCTCAGTCTCTTTCTGCCCCTGGGTTGGAAAGTGTCTGTACAATTCCTTGAAGGGGGGTGTGGGCAAGTCTGCTGTTCTTGGTGTTGCTGGCATCTCTTAGGCATGAGGCTTACGCCACTCTGACCCTTGGACACCCCAAATTCCAAGGTGACACCAGCAGCTGAAGGCTTGATGCCTCTTTGAATACTTCATCATCTTCTTGGCGATTTGATTTCTTCTTGCTGTTTTGAATTTTTTAAAAAATTATGGGTAACTCATGGTAGTGGGGGTCCAAAAAGGTGACAATGATACCCATACACAGCCTGAAAGACATTTTCCTTCTTATTTAACCACAGGGGAACTAAAAAGAAATGCTGACACTTTCCTTGGCTGGCTGGCATTGTCAGGTCTCAGGTACACTAGGATGGAAAAATCTTTTGACTTCAGAGCACAACTTCGTGGAATTTTTACAAGACCTCATACCATGCCTTAAAAATGGTGTCTCTGTGCCCAGGTGTGGTTTGGGGGTGACTTGAGAGTATTTGCTCACTTCTGGGTAAAACTGCCAGCTATCCAAGGTTTGGAAGTGCTTTGTGAATCAGGGAATGACACAAACCAAAGTTGTCACTGTCACTGCTTACAGAATTAAAAGTTACACCAAAGATCTCCTTATGCAAGAAGCATAGAGTCCAATATGAGACCACTTGGGCTCGGCCAGTGCCATTCTGGGTCCCAGGGGAGGCTCAGTGGTGATTCAGACCCACAGGACAGGGACTTGGAAGCCCTTGGTTCTGGTGCCAGCCACGCCAGTGACCTGGGAGCCCCAAACTCCTCGGGAAATTCTAACCAACCCACATTATAGCTTCTCATCTGTAAATTAAAGGGGCAGATGTGGGTCACCTCTAAGGTTCATGTGGGTCTAAAACTCCAGATACCAGAGTTTTCCAGGTTGAGTTGGAATTTCAGCATTGAGTTGGTTGGAGGGGAAAGATAATCTGAAACCAAAAAACATGGAGAAAAAAATCAGGCACGGTTGGAAAATACATTCTTGGAGAGCAAGTGTTTAACCTTCTCTCTGATCTGAAACATACACAGCCAAACAGCCAGGAGAAACACTTTGGTAAGTCATTCATCGGAGCAGGTGGTATACATGGGGTGCAGGTGAGGATGCCTGCAATGCCTCCTCGTTTCTCCTCCAGCCCACCATGCCCTGTTACCATTTGAAAGCCATTAAACCAGGACTGGAAAACATCTCTGAACACACTCAAGAGAGGAGAGGTGTGCAGTGGAAGAGGCTGTGTGGTGTATTCCAGGAGGTGAAAAAGTCACAATGCACATAACTGTTGATTAAGTGAGTGAATTTTAGTCGAGTGAATATTGATACATGGCAGAAAAAGCATGAAAATAAAATGAACACACACGGGAATTACTATTAACATAAGTGATAACATCAAAACATCTGGTAATATGCAGTTCAAAAAAAACACACAAATGAAATGGAATGTAAAACATCTTCACAGTATTCGAAGCTTTTGTAAAAGATTGAGACTCTATAAGAAGGGTGCTACATGAAAGGACTAGAGGGAAAAGGAATTTCGTCTGTGTCCTATGTTTCTGTTGGTGACAGGTCAGAAGGGCCAGGACATCATTCCAGGGGCGTTTCCAAAGGTGCACGTCCACCACAGAGCAGCTGAGCCCAGCATGTCTGTGGAATTACAGCAACTAGGGACTTGGAGCCTGATGAGAAAAACAGCTTCTAGGTTCGGGGAGGGGAGTTTCTGTAATTTACAGACCAGATGAAAACTGGAGCTCTGATTGGCTTCTGCCTTGGGTAGCCCTCGGTGCTAACTCACTGGCGCCGAGAACCAGGAGTGATGCCGGGTACCCTAAAAATAAAGCTCTTGGAATTCTCACCTCATTTTCTATCTTCTAAGATAAACACTGATATTCTTCCAAAGATTTAGCTGATTTTGGCCGATGACCTCAGAGGATTCCACCCAGAATGATTATTTTAAACCTTGACAAATAGGACCTTTGCACTAGCAATAATTACCGAATCACAGACAGACCCCTTTTGAAAACCAATGACCAAGTCAATGAGTCTGCACATTGGTTCTGCTATATCCTTTGTTGAGAAAGACAAAAGTTTGTGATAAAATGCAGCTTCGGGCTCAAAGCCTCCCTTTGCCCTGAAGTTGCAGATGTGTGGTAGACAGGGCTGTCCCGAGTCCACGGTCCTGGGACCCTGTAGCTGGTGTAAAACTTGCTGTTGCATTTCACATTTCCAATTTATTTGGAACTCTTTCTGAAACGCTGCTTCCTACCTGAGAATCCCCACTGAGAGAGTTGCGCAGTGTGGCCACCTATTCATTCCTAATCTTTCTACAGCAACCCCTCTGCCCCACATACAGCCCTCTCCAAAGACCCATGCCCAGGACAGAGGCCCTGTTGCATGACATGCTCTGTCCAAACAAGCAGATACACATAAACACTGAATGCTTGAGTTAATTGACCAAAACTTAGACCCGGATCCATGCACTCATGAAACTGCTCTGCATTTCAGTTGACAATAGTAAAGTATTCCTAATGGACTAATATATGTACACATTTAAAAAAAAACCATCCAAAATTACAGGCGGATCACTTAAGCTCCCCAACGCTTTATGATTAAAGGTCAGAGGGAACCCCAAAGAATGTATGAAATGAAGCATCACTAGTTGTGAGGGGTTCATTTGATCAGGATAACCCTCAGGTAGGTAATGAAGTTGGTAGGCTGGCTTGCGGAGTGGAGTCCTCAGAAGTTAACAGAATCCTCCACTATTTTGGTGTCAGGGCAGACAGAGCCCTAGGAGTGATAATTCCCAGCCTCACTGCAACATCGGATCGGGGATAAATATTCATCCAGAGGGACAACCACTAAAGTCCTCAAAGTGCCACAGAGAATTACGGATCAGGCTTGAGGAAGAAATTAACATGACTGGGGGAACTGCTTCCTATACATTGTACAAGAGGGGTCAAGTTGCTGAAGAAGTGGATGGGTTTATGTATGCCGCTTGTTAAACACAACGGCTTTGAGAATTACCTTAGGGCTCCTGGGAAAAACTAAAGATGCTTTGCTTTTGAAACGCTCTCCTTGGATGAGAACCCTTGGAACTTAACTTTCCCTCTGCAGAAATGGAAAAAAAAAAACACACCACACAACAAAACAATTTTTTGATGTGCAGGACAGGCAGGCAGGCCATTCTGAATTTCTTTGATCTGTAGGCAACCAAGTTTAAAGGAATTAATTTTTTCACAGGAAAGACAAGAATGGGAGCATTGTGAGATTTGATTAGTGTTGTGTTGGGTCCAGAGCCACCCAGAACTCCTCGGGAAGGAGGGTCCACTGGCTACGCTACCGGCAGAACCCACCTCCCATGAAAATGCTCAGTGAGACCTCCACTCAGCTAGAAAGTTGCCTCAAATGCACCAAGAGACCCTGGTCTTAGCACACTTTCCAGATGCTCAACAAAGACTTTTTTTTCAGCCTTGAAAAGTAAATGGGTTTTTGTTGTTCTTTAAAACAATGTGAAATGAACAGACAGATGCATGAGAATACTCAGCTCCTCACCCCACGACCATCCACCCTACACTAGCATTTGCTGGGCTGCTCTAAATTCTTTTGTTTTTCCCCTTTAACTATGTTGCTTGAAAACCACTAACAGTTGCCTTCTCAGTCTACACAGCATCATCTCTGTCAGGCCATAGGTTTGGTGCCCATGAAGTTTCCTTTTTCCCACCTGAATGCAGGCACCTGCTGTCCTCCAAGTGTCAGGAGGAGTGATCATGCCCAGGGTAGATGGTAACATCTCCAGGGCATCTGAAACTGGCCGATATTCAGATCAAAGACGCACGTGGCCGGGCCGGGGTTGGGGGGACGGGCACCTCCCTTGGTTTTCACTGTTTCTCAAGCCCCTCCTGGACCTGCCACACTCTGGAATTGCTCTTAAGTGGTAAGGGTGGTGTGGGTGTCTGTTTCTGCCAAAAACAGAAAGAGAAACGCCACGCGTCTTATCAGCAGTGAGAATTTTCTAGTTCCAAAGGCAGAGATTAGCTGATAGCTCCACGAGCAGTTTGCAGGACATGAAGAAAGTGGCAGAACCTAACGTCGTCCGCTGCCGCCTCCCACTGGGCGCCAATCCCCTTTCCTTACTGGCAACGTTTTCTTTTGGAGGGACTGCGTCTCTGGCTGAGATGGTCCCTGACCCTCCCTTTCCCCAGTGGCCTGCTGCTCCACACTGTCGGTCTTCAAAAGCTTCCTAATCTAAATGGGTTTCCTGACCTGGGCGTGCGGCTTTAAATATCGGCTATAGTGGGGTCTGGAGGGCGGTGCTGGGGGAAAGGTGGGAGGGAGGGAGGGAGGGAGAAGGATGCTGCGAGGGCAAAGCTACTGGATTACAAAGCCCTCCCGAGCAGCAGGAGCAGGGGTGGTGTGACCCCCGGGTGTGTCCGCTTGGCCCCACCCCTCCTAAGCCACGCCCCAAGCCACGCCCCTCCCCAACCCGCCCACTGAGAATCACTTAAAAACCGACTGAAAAGTGGGACATTCGTGGGTCTTCATCTTCTTCATGAAGTTCTTGAACTCCTTGTTCTTCTTGTCCCACTTGTGGATGGCCGTCAGCAAGTACTGGCCCTTCACCTTCCGGCCCAGGATGAGGAAGTGGTGGCTGAGGTTGTCCAGCTGGTGACAGGGACAGTCGGCCCCATTCTTCAGGTACAGGACCAGCCTCTTCAGTTCCTTCTTCTTGATGGGCCCCAGCTTCAGGGGCTTCTTCTTCTTGGGGACAATCTTCTTGTCGCCATTTTCTTTTTTCACTTCTTTGATTTTCATCCTCAGGGCTAGAGAAGGGCGGGGGCGGGGGAGAGGAAGAAGGGAGAGAGACGGGGGAGAGAGCAGTTTAGAACCCGGTTTTTCACCTCCAACAACCACCCAAGCTGAGGGCTGGTGAGCTGGAGAAATACGAGCCAAAGGGCATGTAAACAATGAGGCAGGCAGTTTTCTAGAGAAGGACCAAGGTCCCAGCTCATCTCCATGCACTGATTCTGCCCCTGTTTTGCCTCAGTAGTTGCCACTGGATGCCTGAGATTCCCAAATAAATGTTCAAAACCAAATCATATTTCTCTCTTTTTTTTTTTTACAACTCAGTGACTTGGAACATCACACAATGCCTTATGAGAAGTAGGGATCATTTAATCCGGTAAGATCCACATAATCTAATGCTACAGACCTCAGCACTCAAAGAGAAAAACTACCCCGAGTTTTTTTCAAAGGAGAAAGTTACTGGTTTAGTTCTTTTAACATTCAAAGGACCTCAAATGCCTTGCAAGTTGGGTCCTAGACACAGGACAAGACAGAACCTCTGTGCTCACATTCAGCACCGGGAAGCTAAAGGGAGCTTCAAACTGTCACGCTTGACTGCATCAGATATCAGTGTCCAAGCTCAGCATCGGAGAAACCAGCGTTGGTACCACTGTGCCTCCAGGGAGTTCAAATGGCAGGGACTGCTGATGGGCTGTTCACTAGTCAACCAGTAACGGTGCCACTAATGTGCTATCCTGTCCACCGTGCAAACCTACAGACCCAAACTCGACTTCCACCTCTTGACCCATTTGAGCAAGTCCTGGTGGATAAATCCAGCTGATGGCCCCTCCCACCCAACACGGTGCGTGCGCTGCTTCTGTCCTTAGTGCAGTCCCCCACAGAAAGGGAAACCCAGCCCTTCTGCCAACCCCGCCTTCGCATCTTTTGGTCTCTACAGCCTGAGTCAACATATTTCAGTGTCAGGGTGTGGACCACACGCTTCAGTGCTGGCTGCACAGGGTCAACTAGTGATGATGCATTAGCACGGAGGCGTTCTGTACCTTGTAAATGCAGCCAAAACACAAACATGGCGTCCCCGTGACAATCAACTCCCCGCAGAGAATAGCCAACCCCTGATAGTTATAAAGGAGGTGACAGTCATTTCTAGACGCTAGTCACCACATGATCTGTCCATCTCTGAATTCCTCTGAATCCAGAATCACCAAGCCCCCTCTTTTTAATCACTCACTTCCACCTACATTCCACGAGGAAAGACTGGAACCACATAACAGGAGCCAATGATGAAAGCATACGGATGCCAGGAAGGGAGCTGTTTCCCCCAAGCCTTTCCTCTGTTCAACCTAACAACTCCACGAGGAAGGTGTGATTATTCCCCCCACTTCACAGATGAGAAAACTGAGGCGTAAGGGTTACGTTTACCTGCCCAAAGTCACTAACCCTAAACTTAAACCCATGGGCTGAATGAGCACTTTCAACCACTGGGCTGTTCAGACTGACTCTCTGGTCACAAACCTCCTTATAATGAATCTGAAATTGAGAGCGCTCATTAAACAGACCAAGAAAATAAGGGGAAAGGGCTCAGACTCTTGTCCCTGTTTCATCCACATTTCAAAATGACTTTACTTACAAATTGGTAAGCGTTTCTCCCGGGCGAAAGGGACAGCTCTGGCAAAGAAAAAGACTACATTTGTGAAGGCTCTGTTATTTAATAGTTAGTTGATTACAAAGCACACTTTGGCTAACCTGAGAACAAGGAGGAGGGAGGAATCCTAGGAGCAAACCTTTAGTGAGTGTGTCAAAACCAGGAAACGAAACTGGCCTCCACCACTTTCTCTTTCTTCAGAGAGTTTGAAATGTTGCAGACACTGAGCCCCGTGTAACACCCCAGGCCTGCGGCCCTTAAGAAAGGCGTCTGTCCCGAGGGTGGCAGGGGTTCTGGGGACTGGCCCCAGCAGCAGAAGGCGCTCCCTGAGGTTAGTGCCGACCTCCCAGGCTGGCCCAGGCCTCCGCACACCGAACCAGCCACCACCCAATACTTCTGACTTTGCTTGAATCCTCCCGTGTCCATCCCCCACCCCGTGGATGGAGGCAGGGAGACCAGCAGGTGGGAGAGCAGAGATTAGGAAGCAGCTGGCACCACTCCTCCCGGAGCTCCCCCCAGATCTGCCCAAACAGGCCCACCCCTGGTTCAGCTCCCCTTGGTTTACAATCCTCGTAGCTCGTGGGTCCCTTGAGAAATGATTTCACCCGTGTGAGTCTGTGGCTCGCTGAACAAGAAAGCTCTCCGTGGGGCTGAGTGAGGGGCCAGCCAGAGGACACTCACTGGCCAGGCCCGGGGGGAGTCAGGGCTTCATCTCCGCCCACCCTCTGCACCGCGGGAAACCACTGACCAAAAGGAGGCAGGCGGCAAGGGCAGATCTGCTTCTTTCCCATGGCCGTCCAAGAGGTGCCCTGATGGGTCAGGTGAGGCCTGAGCCACTTCCTAAGGTCTGAGACTGGGGACCCACCGCTGCCGTGGGAGGCTGGCTTACATCACCAGGAGGGAGGGAGGCACCCTCGCTTCTGCAGGAGGGGCGCGCCCCCACCGCGGGCCGGGCTCCGTTTACAGGACAGGTGCTCCCGGGGTGGCTCCTGACTTACTGCTCACAGCCACCACCTCTATTCCTGATTGCAATCAGGGGCCGGACTCAGGGTAAATAACGACAGCAGGAGGCCACAGTTCCTACGAAGGGGAGTGGGGCTAGAACCCACGCCTCACCCCAAAGACCACGCGGTGTTCCTCACTCTCCCAGGATGGGGTTTCAAATGATACTGCTTCAGTGGAAACTATTTCCCTCTTTTGACTGTGTTGCTTTTAATCACGACGCAAATCAAAAATTAATGTCCCTCTGCCACGACCGTGTAAAGGAATTTCGTTCAAATGGGTGAGGGGACCGCGGGGAGGGGGGAAAGCCAATGGTGAAAATGTGTTCTGCATTAGACGCTTTATGTCTTGCCATTTGGCTCGCTTTTCTTTTTGGAGGTGGGGAGAGAAGGCACATATGGCCAGAAATTACTAACATCTTTCCATCTTTCAAGGGTTTATTTTAGGGATTGCAGATTACCAACTGTTTGGATAGGCGATTAGCCGTCCAAGGTTGATTTCTCCCTGCCTTGTGGGTCTGTGTGCGACCTCCCCCACCACCACGCCACATCCAGGGGCTGCCGGGATGGTAAGGGGGGCACTGATCATCACCTCCTGTCCCCCCACCCAGCCTCCACCGTGGTGACAGTGCCCAGGCCCCAGGGATTTGGCCCCATGGACTGTGTTCGCCGCTTGTGGTACAAATGGGGGTGGTGGGCAGGGAAGAGGAGGCAGCAGCTGGGCCCACAGCTGGTGTGCTGGATAGAGTACCAGGTCCTGGGTTCTAACTGCGTGACCACAAAGGCTGGATTTGAGCTCCCGGAGTCTGCATTTCCCATCTGTAAAGCGCAGAGTGCAGTCAGTCTGCTTGCTAACCTGGCAGGTCGACCATCCAGAGAGCAGTGTTGGGCCATCCTGGCAGGCATCAAAGCTCACCTCCAGCACCATCCACCACCCTGTCTGCATCCTTCCCTCCCTCCCCACGTGCTGGTCTCACACTCACGATAATTTTACAACCGTCTCAGGCCCTTGATCTCAACTACCTGTAACTACTGGACCCCGAGCTAAACAAAACAAAACAAACTAAACACTGCTTTGGGGGGTTATTTTTTAGCAATAACTTAACATCCTCCAACAGTGAAATGTAACTACAACCTCTCACCTTGCTGGGCACTGCCAGCAAGAATTCAGAATCTTTGAAAACCCAAAACGTCAGGTTGCAGTTAGGGGCTGTCGGGGTCTTTCTCTGCAACCTTAAAATAAATAACTTCTTATATTCAGGTAGACCCTTAAAGGTCCCTTTCATATTTTTCAGTCACCGAAACCATATTTTTTGCTCACAAATTTGTCTTCCTTGAGAGCTTCCCCACAAGGCCCGGCCACACTGCTGAGGCTGAAATGAAAACAGGAAACTCAAGACATTCACCTCGAACCCACATGCCCTGCAAAGCCATCTCTTTCTCTGACCTGCTTATGCTAATGGTGTCCCCATGTTTCCCATGGCCCAGAAAGGGTGCGGGACCTGAGGCAGCCACTGGCCAAAGGCCATTTATACAACCGACACTGTGGACTTGCTGCAGGAATGAGGGAAGGGTCCGATGGGAAAGCTGGAAGGGGGCTGAGTCAGAAACCAGCTTTGTGAGACACGCAATTACAGGTAAAGGTCACAGAGTCAAGCACAGAGGAAAGACACGAATGAGGGACCGTGGTCAGGGTGAGAGGAAGAAGGGTCCTTGCAAAGTCATGAGGCACAGATGGAAAACCAGGAGGCCCACTGTCCCCGAGAGCACCGGCAAGAGGCGCTTCATATGGAAGGGAGGTCCCTGAATCCCAAATGTGGCAGAGTTTAAGGCTAAGCGTGAGGCCAGATGGCTCACCATGGCGATAGGGAGTGTCGACTGAAAAAAAAACAGCACAACGTGAGAGTTGTGAGTTAAGTTTTCTTTGGGGCAAAATGAGGACCGTAGCCCGGGAGGCAGCCTGTTGGACAGCTCTGAGGAGCGGCCCTGAAGAGGTGGGGGAGGTCAGTACACGTGAGATTCTGTTGAAGTGGGGGGTCGTGCGGTCAAGCACACGTTTTGGCAGAAGGTTGCAGCTGGTCACAAGGAGCAGATGTCCCCATTAGTGATTTCAGTGCTTTTCTAGATATGAGGAGATGTAAGAACTTGGGCTCATGAAATCTTCTCCTGAAAATATCTGACTCTCCGAAGGCCTGTTCTGCCAGTTTTTCCCAGAGCACAGAGAGCCTCATTCCCAGTCTCTACCCTGACCTCCTTTCAGGGTGTGTTGGAGGTCAGCGAGTGCAGTGGCCAGTGACCTAATCCTTGTGGAGGCAGATGGTGACAGTTTTTAGCTGGCAGGGTCACTAATGACCTGCAGGAGCCAGGACCCGAG